CGGCGAACGAACCTCGAGATAAAAATGAGTGTCGTTTTCTTGCTTCTGTGTACGAAATATTGTCTTTGATTTTCAGGGAAAGAATTTCCTTCTCTCTTTTCCACACAGGACAGCTGCAAGAGTATGCCGGGTGAGGTCCCTGACAGTTGACACAAATAGTAGTGTTGTTGCCACAGTTATCGGTGGGGTGGTCAGTACTTTCACACTTGGCACAGGTAGCCTTTCCCCTGCAAGAGGCTGTTCCGTGTCCAAAGCGTTGGCAACGGAAGCAACGCCTTGCATTTGGGATGTAGGGCCGAACCCTACAGTTTAAATACCCGGCCTTGACTGTTTGAGGAAGCGTAGTCGAGTCGAAGGTTAATACTAAATGTTTTGTGGGTCGCTCTTCACCATCACGCCGGAGGGTAATACGTCGCACAGAAACGACACCCTGACCTGAAAGTCCCTCAACGATCTCGTCGGTGGGAATTTCGAGAAGGTCATCTTCGGAGATGACGCCCTGCGTGCTGTTGAGTGAACGGTGTGGGGTCACAGATACTTTGTATTCTCTTACTTCGTTGAGAGCCAGAAGTGCCGTACCCTGCTTCGCAGTAGTGACTTCTACAAGGAGGTCGCCAGAGGGAAGTTTTTTCGCTTTGAAGTCCTTTCCTATCACGTTCTCTAGGGTCTTTGCAACTAAAAAAAGGTGAAAGCTTTGAGAGTGGTTGGTTGTCGTTCTCCGAGTGCATTACCAGAAACTTAGGAAAGGTAATAACTGGCATTGTAGGGCTTGCTTTTTTTGATGTTTCTTCGGTCCGACCCCTTTTCAAGGGCCGATCTAGAAAAGATTTTGCTTTGGAACCCATACGAATGGGAAACAAAAATTCAGCACCCATGGTGTGCCACCCACCACCGAGTCCAACAAAGGGAATGGTCAACAGCCCATAACAAATAGGGCTTTGCTGGTACCGTTGAGCCATTAGCACTTGCCCGGGTGCTATACCCAAGCGTGGTTAGAATTTAGGTAATTCATTACCACACAAGGTTGGCCCTTGCCGCCAAAGGAGATGAAAAGGGCGTAAGGAAGGTGGAGTGAAGAAAAGAGAGAGATTTATAAGTAAAAGAAGAGAGGGGATAGTAGGAGAAAAGGCGACTGACTGGATCATCCTGGCCGGGCCTTACCAGGACACCCGTCTACAGGAAGCAGGGGCCAAAGTGGTGTGTTGCCTCGCCCGGGGGGCCCCGAAGGGTCCAAACCTACCCCGGGCTCAGCTCAACCACCAGGATGCCCTTTTCCCTGGACACGGGCTCGCCACGCACAGCCAGGCATGGGTGGGTCTTACCCACTTTTTACTCGGGGTCTGTAATGTAGCCAATGTGGCTGGGGTCCGTGGTGTCGCTACTCACCAAGCACCTAGCACCTAAGGCGCAGGCGCCCCCTGCGGGGCTCGGGGTCCGTGGAGACGCCGCTCTCCAAACACCTGCTTTCACAGGTGCCCCCTGCGGGGCCTTAGTAATCGAGATGTGTTTTTTCTGTCAGTGCTCATTACTTTGACCATGAGTTTATGTCCCCAAAAATTTGTCCTCATTGTGCCCTTTTGTAGATGGCCCCGTTGAAGATTGCCTTCCTCTGGACCCTAGATGAAGGGTTCGAAGCATCTTTCATATTGTGTGGGTCGAAGGGTGTCCGGAAGCTGCATTCGCTAGACTGGCCAGTACTGTCCCAAGCCTCTTCGGACATTTTGGGACTTCCTACGTCTAGTGCAAATGTAGAGCACGCGCTCTCAAAATTTTGCGCAGTCAGCAGGAAGGAGTGGGCGGGAATGATAGGTGCGAGCCTTAGAATGTGTGCCTTAGAGTAAATGAAGTGTAAAGAATATTGTGCGTCAGATGTAGTTGAAAATTTAACCGTTTCTGGTATTGATTGTTTGTTTTTATTCGCGATTTTCTCCGTCGATAAAAGCCGTTTCAAGCGTCTGCACGAGACGATTCATCGAAATGCAGCGGCACTTTGGAAATAAATAAACACCGAAAAACATCCGCCGATTTTTTACATAAATAAACTTTCGAAAGTACATATACAGCCTTCTCATAACGAATGCCCACAAAGTTCATCGCTCACTTGAAACAAAATTTTTTTGTTGCATTTCTAAAAATTGTTTATCCAATACTTTTTTCCATTTATCTGTTCACTATGGCTAGCTGTTTAATCGTAATTTCACGGTACCAAATAACAGAAGGCTGCTACAGTCTTCGAAGGCATGCAAACACGTGATGCCTCCCTACTCCTAAAATAAGTTGTGGGGAATAGGAAGAGGCATCTGAAGTCGAAATGTCCTCTCGTAGATTGCAGCTGGTGACTGACGGCGAGGCGGTGGCAACGACTACGACTTGAGGAAATAATTCAATTGCATTTATTTAGAAATGCCCGCAACCGACCCTTGGGAACTCCTACGCACACCCTTCAAAAGGTTCCTTTCTGTCCCAAAAGGGAGACACTTCTAACAGGGGTGCCTTCGCATTTTCCCAGCGCACCCTCTCCACGCTGTCCCCACTCCCCTGGCGAGGCATTTCTCGGCAACGCCGAAGGGCAGCTAGACAAACAACTCTGCCGAAAAAAAAGGGTGTGCTAATCCGTACAATCACCATTTGAGAAGAGAATATACATTGAAGTTGAAAGGCCAAAATACTTTGACATACATTGCAGCATTCAGAAAGTCGTGCCCACAATTTGCTCTTTGCCAGCCTAAGCTCCGGTAATAGTTGAAATAATTCATAACGCTGGGGAGGGTGGTAAACGGATGGCTTTGACTATTGGCTATTTTTTTAAAAGAGTAAATGGGGTCGTAAGAAAGGTTGCCAACCAAACTACCAAAATAATAAGCATTTTGCCCATAAAATTCCTATTCAAACAGCTTGACTGCACAGAGATAAAGTGACTGGATCGCTAAATAAGTCCAGCTATGATAATGACTGAAGGTTTCTCTTTGATACTATAATAAAAATAGATAGGGTGCAAAAGAAATGGAGAACCTTATTTTTAGAAATAAGGTTGTGGTCAGAGTGCCCATTTAAAAAGGTACTCTGACCAGAACAACTTTTTGAGTACCCACATAAAATGGGTACTCAAAAAATTGTTGCAAAATGAATTGCAGTGTAACACTTCAGTTGGGATAAAGCCTTTCTCCTCCCATTTTTACATCCGGTAGTATAATTTCTGTAAAACAACGGCAAAAATAAGCATACGAGCTTACCTAATTATGTCTATCAATAAAAGTGTGCCCCCCTCCCACCTCCAAGTTTTAAAAACCTATCCAACTCAATACTCTAGTATTATAAAGTGCAAAAACAATCCCCCCCCCCCCCCCCAAATAATAGGAAAACCTACACTTGTGCTTTAAAATTAGCACTTCAGAACCAGAGTAAAGTCAAAGTTTGCTGCTTTTGTTAATGACAGCTAAGCGGAGACTACCTTGACTACCTCATTTATTAAAAACAAAAAAGAAGACACAAAATATTTTTTTTTTTGCATTTTGTAGTAGTTTTTTTTTTTTTGTTTTTAATTTAGAGATCTATTTGAAACCAAGGCCAATAAAGGTAGACCTAAAACAGTTCTGAGCATACTTTTCGAGCCTATCGCATTAATCCAGGTGCTCACCCATGTCGGCCCTTACTCCTAGCACTCAGGTGCAAAGCGGTAAAGTTCAATGCTGCGCTGGTGAGGCACGGTGTGAGGCATGCCATGTGGCACACATGATAATAAAGTGATCTTGTCCGGAGTACAAGACCATGGTTCTGTCTTATCAGAGTAGCCGCCATCCTACTATTTCGCAATGCTTTCTCGCTACTTTTCGCTCCTCACATAGCCAACATCATCCGAAAATTTAGACCATGTCAGCGATCAACTTGCCAGCGGATCAACCAGTCAGCACGGTTGACGAGCAATCTCTAAACGTTTTTTGAGCTGAATTTAAAGCGCAGCCGACGCTATGAGCCAATGGGACCAACCAAACAGCGTCAAAGCGTGAAATCAAAGCATTCGTCCATCTTCCTGCGTGTGATATTTCAACGACTAAAGCAGTCGAGTAAAGAAAATGCACCATGAGACTAATTCAGTTTACATGTTCGTAGTTGTACGTTTTAGAGTCTTCAAATATGCTCTGACCTAAGTAAGATGAAACAAACTATACTGTGAGTAGGTGAGTAGAGACGCCATGAAATGTATATCTGTAACATTTTTCTTCCTCTCTACTTCTCTCAATAATAAAGTCAACCAAGAGTAAAATATTTTTGTTTTGCTCTGCTTAAGCTTATCTCGGTGCAGGTTTGGCACAATTCTTAGCAAAAACGGCATTTTGGCGCAACATGTAGAATTTTGTTCATGGTGCAATTCGGTGGAGCACTTCCATCACTGATGCTGACTGAGAAGTGACTGCTTTTATTACTCAAGGAACCGAAAAAAAACATACATGACCCTCTACCCATGTTGGGATTGCGCCTGCACAACAAATAACTCAGTGCTATCAGTTATACACAGCCAACATATCATCTCCCAATCTATGAATTCAACCTCACTATCTAATGTCAAGAAAGCCTGACTCACGCTAATTGGTCCCTCCATTTTCATTCTGTGTGCCTCGAATATCTCTTGAGCTTGTTGACCCCCGTGTTAACAAAACACGACAGCCTTCTCCACTACCGGCTTACAAATGCAGTCGCACTTTTTCAATATGAATACATACCAAGTCACTAAGTATTCTATTTTGTTAAGCTTATAGAATATTTACAAACAAACTATGTTTCATAAAGTCACCTGCTGATACCTTTAAATGGAACTTCCTGGTTGTCCAAGGAGCTCCTTTTACATTTAAGGCATGGTGGACATCCTAAGATAGACTGTGTTTTTTTCCCTTACGGAAAGACCTTTGCATTGAAGGAAATGTTTGGTGCAAACTAGATTTTCTAAAAACTGGACCCCAAAGGAAGCACTTTGAAATCACAGAGATAGGAACTGTGCCTACCCGGTGCAGAAGAGTTTCCAGCTTCTTTGTGATGGCAATCCACACTTTGGAATCCGTGAAGGCCAGCTTGTAGGACTGCAAGTGGGATATGATCTCTAGGTAGTTGTTCCTCGAGAACTTCTCGATGGGAACCTCCTCCTTATAGAGCAGGATGGCCGGGTTGGTCAGGTCTACCAGCAGCCTGAGAAAGAGAAAGCAACAGAGTTTCGGCAAGCCTGTTGTGCTGCCAGCGTCAACGAGAACCCCCTTCAAAACAAAGATGCACGAAGAATTTGCCAACGCCCCCGCTGCTACCAATAATAAGCTGGGGCAGAGGGATCGACGAAGGCCCAGCAAACTCGGTCGATAATGCAAGAGTGGCTTGGCCTGCTGTCACAGAATTTGACTATTTTTCTCTATTTTGGAGCTTTCGCGAGGAAGCGCATTCAGTCGTTGGTTGGCCCTTGCCCCACGGGTTTGAGCAGGAGCCATCGGCTTGTGCTGTTTGGCGGCCCCCGATAATTGGGAACCGCGGGAGAGGTCCCCTCTCGAGGAGGGTGCGGCATCATGTTCTGTCCCCAGCTCGGGCGCTTTCTTCCTTTTTTTGTTGTTGTTGTTTCGACAAGAAAAGAAATGGGAAAGTGAGGACCTCGGCTTGGTTTCGAGCCAAGTCGAGGCAGTGTTTGCCGAGACTGGACCGGTGGGTGGACACGATGCGAAAGTTGAGAGCGACAGCGGGTGCGGTGGAAGGCGGAACGCGGGAAGACCTCCGAGCGGCTCTGCAGGCCCCCAACTGTGTGTGTGCTCGTGGATGAGCGTGGTGCCAAGGAGCATTGCACGGAGCATCCAAGCACACACAGACTTCCCCGTTTTGACCAGCGCCGCAACCAGCCCTCGTCACCCACACCCCTCCCCGGACACAGGTTCGCTTCACTCACCCTCTTAGAATTGTATAACATTTATAGCTATTATTGTGTTATACCTTTCTTTTTGTTTGTTTGTTTGTGTCTAGTGTCCAGTGTGGACAACACCTTTAACCGTTGGTGTGCCAATTAATTTATTTTTTTTATGTGTGAGCACGCTTGCGCGCTAAAGAAAGCAGTGTTTTTCCTTGAATTTGATTGTGTGTAAAAGCGTCGCGCACGAGAAGGGCAGGAGTTGGTTGGTGTTTGTTACTTTTTGCGTTTGGTGTTGCAGTTTTGAGCGTGAGTCAAGTAAATTGTTAATTATTTAAACGCAACCTCTCCGTCTCGTTCCTCGCCCCTCACAGCGAGTCCGTCCACCAGGGCGTGGACCTATCGTCCGGTCAGCGGTCCTAACAAAATTATAAATTTTGTTTGCATGGGATCATTTGGATCTTTCTTTAATTTTCCAAACCTGTGACACCTGCAGTGAAGAACCCAAACGCACATTTCACACGAGCGACAGGTGACGTCTATATCTTGGCGAATGACGTCTCGTCAAATAAAGGTCCGCCTTAGACAGTTTTAAGTGACAGTCTAGCGAAGAGTGTTTATGCACAGTCCCGTTCTATATTGCCGCCTGTTTGGCAGAGTTGGCAACATGCACAGTTGCCATGCAGAGGAGTGGAGTTCAAACCCCGCTCGGCCCGAATCCCTCTTATTAATCTGTACTCTGCTGGAATGTTCCAGCCCAATATCGGCTGTTGTTGAGCGTTCTAGTTAGGGACATTCCCAAGCATACTGCGTGTATAGAAGCAATGGTAACGCGCTGCTTTTTGACAGACCCCCCTCCGTTGCCGACGCATTATGCTCAATACCTTCCGTATTAGTCCGTGGGCTTGTGCCCACGGACTAAAACAGCCTTAATTAAAAGTTTTTTTATCAGTTCTAAATACGTCTTTTCCTTTTTACCCGCGACAATATGAAGGTGACAGCACGATTGTCGGCCGCTCCGTACCATTATGGAATGGCGGCTGTGGCTGTTTGCGTGCCTCGCCACATTTGGTTCAGAAAGCACAAGCACCACTGCTTTGTGACACTGCCAGTACAGAGCCGTCGGTGACGATGTGTTCACCTCCATATGGATTGCGACTCTACCATAACCGTGATGGCATGAAAAAAAAATAGAGGAACCGCCGGCATGTGGGGTATGTATATGATGTAAGTGCAGAGACCCCACAACCATTTCACTTTTGTTTGGGATTATGTTCAGCCTCCCACAAGAACCGACGCAGTTGAAGCGAAATGACGGTGAGACGGCAAAAACGGTTGTTTCTTGACTGTGGGGCTAAGGGTCAGGAGGAACATGTTGTCGGAAGGCGAAGCGAGCGCTCTCTCGCCCCAATGATACAGGCAGGAGCAGGTTGTCTGTCAAACTACTTCTTCAAAAATTCCCCAACTATTTTGAACACAGTCTATGAGCCTTACACAAAAGGAGAATCTAGAAAGAAATCCTGATTGGTCCAGCGCAGGAGCACTTCTTCGGCGATGACGTCGTCACCTTCGCATACTTCCGCTTCTAAAATACAACCAAACAATACCGAGCACGAAAACGAGCACACATCACATGAATGAATGGCCTAAAGATATCAAAATGGGTCTGACGAACCAATGGCAAATGAATAGGTGCGTGTGTTGTGCTTGCCAGAAGATAGAGTTACATGTGCTATTCACATTTAATCTAGTTAATCAGGGTGGCCTGTGCCACCTAGCGCAGCATGCCTCAATGCATGCCACATCCTCATGCTTCACAGTGCATCACCACGCCTTTCTCGTCTGTCATTTTCCCCGCCTTATCCAACTTTCGGCAGATTTTCTTGACAACTACCTGAAAATTTTAGGTTGCTAGATACCCTGGGACCTTGGGCAGAAATGGTATTAACCAGTCTAGAAGGGTTCCACTGGGGCCTGAAACAGGGTCATTCCCTTCAAGGGACACTAAAAACAATTGTATTTTAAGTGCTCAAATTAGGAATGTACGTCGCAAAATAAATTTTCATAAAGAAACATTTTTTTAGCGCAACATATATTTTACGCCGCGAGACACATTTCGGGTTCGAAGCGGTTCCAAAACAAATTTCACTTATGAGGGCGAAGCATCGACAAAACTTAATTTTGTAATTGCTCCGAATTCAGAATGCATCTCCCGGAATAAATATTGAACTAAAGAAAAACTTCTCGGGGAGGGCTGGGGGGGGGGTGTTCCATTACTTTGTAGCATACGCGTCATACCAGGCACTCAAGAAAAAACTTTTTGGGGGGTTCAGCGAAGTGACTACCAAGTGCAAAACCACAGTTTGCTAAGACGATATGGTCCCAAGGCTGACTGGTGGCAGTGCTCATCAGTATGCGAGAGCAGCCAGTGTATTCTGACGCAAAAAAATTACTGGTCTAAATATTTCGAGCTTGAATTCCGTCTCCACCGAAAGGAGTCGGAGAGTGACTATGTCGCATTCACCAACAATTCTTACCCGAGACAATTTGTTGCCCCTAAAGCTTTACCGTAACGACAGAGTGTCAAATTATCGAGAGACAAAAATAATGTGACTCGAGTGCGCCAGTTTAAATGCCCACGTAACGATCATGGCCATGCTGTCAAAAAAGCATGGCTACCTGCCTCCTTCACGACTATTTCCCCTAGTTGAAGTTTTGAAGCCACAAACACCTTTATTACAAACCCATATTCAAGACGCCAAACAGTAAACGAACCTGATCCTTTCCTTCCCTACCCTGCCTGCACTCATGTGCGAATACCCACCGGGCAATGAAATTTGGTTGGACGAGTGGCGCCATCCTAAGGAGAATTTGAGCAACCCGAGACAGCCCGGGCCGCAATCATCTGACCCGATCTCGAATCTCCGAGCGCCACCCCAAACTGTGACGTAGAGCCCGTGTCCAATCGCTCGGTGACTTGGCCTTACCAAAGTTGCCCTTTCTGGCCACCAGCCGCACTAACTAGCAGCCGATTGAGGCGCCTCCTGTTCACTGCCCTGGGGCTATAGCACTACATCAATGACAGAGTGACAGCCATAGAGAAGAGCGTTAGGCATCCGGCCCCCAGTACGAGCGTCATTTCCTCGATGACACGACAGCATCTCGGCGGCTTCAAGCGAGCACGCGCAGCCAAAGCATGTCAAAAGACAACGAGTGCATGCCAGACGTTGGCCCTCTCAAAAACATTGTCAATGGCTGTAGCAGTAAACGGACTAGGGTGCCAGGTACCTCCTGCCATAATTGAAAAGACCCCGACGCACCAAAAATGTAAGGATTACTTTGCGAAAAAATATATCAAGACATTTTCCAGCTATACTTTGACACAGAGTCGCGTATTCTCTGAGAAAAACAATGTGAAGCCTACACCGGAGAATCGATGCCAAGGAAGGTGGCGGCGGACACTGCAGCAGGGGCCGTTTTAAATCTCACCATTAAAGGGACACTGACACCCCCCCAAATTTTTTTTTAATTTTTTGCGAGGCGATTTATTATTATAATGCAATCAAATGCAAAGGTGCAAGTGAGCTGGACAAGAATGACGAAAAATAATTCCTGGAGAAGGGGAACAAGAGGGACAAACACAAATCTCCAAAAACAGCAAGGTGACTGGTGCACAACTGAAAAAATCCGCCTGGTCCGGGTATTGAACCCGGGACCTCTCCATTACAGGCGGCCGCGCACCAGTCACCTAGCTGTTTTTGAAGATTTGTGTTTGTCCCTCTTGTTCCCCTTCTTCGGGGATTATTTTCGTCAATTTATTACGGTGTCAGAAGACAAAGCAACATTTTGCTACAGTGTCACGTATATTTTTAATAAAGTAAAAAAATGCAACTGCTCAAAACCGAAACTGGACTGGAGAGGAAGAAGAAATATAGAGGAGAAGAAAGATACCGAAAGTCACGTGGCTGTGCACCTTTTTTTTTCTTTCTTATTCAACATATTTGCAGCTTTTTAGGAGCCACAAAAAAAATGAGTATCATATTTTCTGTCCATTTCTAGTATTGGGTGTGTGCCTTCAATGGCCCACGACTTTAATTATCTTTGGTGGTTGCGTCTAAACTTTAGAAAACGGCGCATGACCACGGAGAAGAGAGTGAGCGCAACTCAAAACGGCCGGTTTTTGATTGGCGGTGTCTGGGCAGCAAGAAAACGAATTTCGAGCTGCAAAATGTATTCTGGGTAGTTAGGCTCTCGTATGTCATGTACAAATAAAAACCTTGACAAGCATAAATACCTTGTCAGTGTCCCTTGAAACATGGCATGCTTGCAATGTCATCACTGTAAGCTGGTGACCGTTCCTACAGCAGGTATTCGGTGGACGCCATATTTGAGTGTGCTGTTCGCTGCGCACGCTCAAAACGAGCTCACATTTACAGGTTGCCAAGATCTGCAATCTCGATGGTGTGTAATGCACGTAGCAAAAGAACCGTGAAATCTCGCCGTGAGCGAGTGCTCGGCGGCCATAGACTCGGCCATGGCTACGGCCACCAGTGAATACTTTTACTTGTTCTTGCCGACGAGAAAAAATTTGTGGACGCGAAATGTATGCTGTAGAAGAACGCCCTCAGCGACAAAACCATGGCAGCCAGTGTGATTTCAATGCAAGCCATGCAAGTGTTCGCACTTTCTTTAAAGCAACATATTTTCGGTGTATCGGAGGTCAAAAAAACTATGTTGCATCGGTTCTATTATCTTGATTAGCCCATACTTGCCTCAGACAGCTTCACCACACGTGACAGGAGTTCTCAGTCAAGGTCGAAAAAAACAATTGTAGAATTGTGGAGAACTTTCGAGCGGAGAAAAGCCCAAATTAGAGGTACTAACGGTGTTTCGGCTCCAATGCAGAGCCGGAGCATCTTTGCAAAACGCGCCTCACCTGAGCACGATGTCGAAGAGCGTGGAGTCGTCCGAGTAGAACTTCAACAGCGGGAGCAGGTCCGTCTTGAGGACCTGGATACGGCCGAGGATCCGCCGTATCTCGTGAGATTCGTCGTCGCGCCTCAGGTACCTCAGTAGGTCCTTGAGGCTTTCTGCAAGTTGCCCGCAGCGTCGTGACTTGTAACCAAAGCGCTCGGGCGAGTTATCCTACCTTAACGGCATTTGGGAACTTACCGATACATTCCGGCTCTTTGAAGTATTTCCCTTCGTCCCAACCGCCGAGTGTACTGCAAGCCGCCTGGATGTCCGAGTGGATCAATGACGACACCGAGTTGCTCATGCTGAATTGCGAGGGACCGTCGATGCTCACGAAGTTGCCGCGTGAACCGTCGAGCGAGTTGCAACGTGACGGACAAACTTGGCGGGAAACAGCTGAAAACCCGGAAACGCCGAACGCCAGGCGCCGGAAGTGTCGAAATGCGGCACGTTCCTATGCGGTTCCTGAGGCTACGGACGCTACGGACGTGTCGAATCAGGGGCCGTGTTCCAAAATTTAGTCGATTTTACTCCTGGGTAACAGTTTGGTACCTTGGCGTTCCAAAACTTACCCGCGTTCAGCGCCTTTCAGTTTGTGTTGTCACGTGACACGACCCGCCGGAGTAACTGATGGTCCATTTGGGTAGGATTTGGAACACAGCCAGGGGGGTAAAGGTGGGTGAGGAGGAGTGGCAAATCCCGTGCGCCGACATCCTGGGTCCCGAGTGAACGAACGCAAAAGAGAGCGACAGAACACGAGAGAAAGAAAGCAACTTTGCCATGGTAACGCGAAGAGTGAAAACTCTCAGCAATATAAACAGTAATAATTTAACGTTGTAAACTAAATTATGAGCTATTCTAACGCTTATAAAAAGCAATAAACTCATTACGCTGCATAAACTTCTTTTCTGTCGAAATCTCGGAAATCTGGTGGTTGCGCAGTTTCGTATTCCTCAACCGCGCCCAGCCGCGTCCCACCGGCGAAGCCGGGTATATGGTTTAGTTTAGCGCATATGGTTTAGCGTTAATGCGAGGCCGTACATCTGCGCGCTTTTCAAAAAGAAAGCTTCGAAAGGAACGTGAATATCTTTCACCGGTAAGTTCGTGAATTGTTGAAGTTCACGAAACTGCTCTGATGATGTAACCGTGTTTGGGACCCCGAGGGTCTGCCTGCATGATCCGCCGCTTGCGGCAGCCAGAATGTATGGGAAAATGGCGGACCTTTTTCTCTAGAGTTAGTATGTATGATCTCTATGGCTATGTTCCAAATCTTACCCGAGTAACCTGCCTCCTACGTCAGCGGGTAATACCACGTGACATCGCGAGTAAACGATCCGCGACTCGATTTTGGAACGGCCAGGATAATCACCTGGATAGTACGCGGATTGGCTTCGTCTTGGGCGACGGCAAAAAGAAAGCACAGCAGCGATGGCAGAAAATAGCAGACGATCCTTTTGCTCATGGAGAAAGCAGCCGAAGAACGGTAATGTTAATGACGACGCGGTGTATTTTGAGGTGGATCCACCAGCTCCTTTTACTCACCTTCGTTTTGAGTTGTATATTGAGATCAAAATTACTTACTCCTTACAGCTAGACATAAAAAAATGTGTTTTTATTAATCAGCGCGATCGCTGCAATTCTAGTCACGGTGCCCTAAACGCATATATTCCACGCATTGTAATTTGCACCGATTATGTTTTGCAGAAATATATTCCACACGGTGTAGCGGTACAGCGCGAGGGTGTTTTCTCCAGAATGATATAAAACTCACGTTCGCTTTGACGCGAATGTGATTACAGTGAAATTTTTGAAGCCTTCACTGCTTTACAAACGTTATCCTCTCATTACACACACTCTGGAGGAAACAAAAATATTACATTATCATATACCGAGTTCAAACATTTTCGGCCTTGAACGTGAGATTGCGGCATTCCCCCAACGCCGAGGACGAGGATGCGGAGAAGCTCCTGTTTACGCTCGCACTCAGATAATAACAAGTACACGTTCCCGGGGAAGGTGGACGGTCTGGATGTAATGCAGTCAATTCCTGCGTTGACAACAGCAAATCGCAATAACCAGACATGCTGCACCTAATTCTTTGTAATTTCGAACGTCCGCCATCAAAACCAACGGTGCAAGCGAGCTTTGACGGCTGTCGGCGCAGAAAGCAGACGACGAACAGATCACGTGACGTATTTACTCGATTTGATCCGACTTTACCCCCCGATCGAGGAGGGTAGCGCGAGTAATTACTCCGGAGTAAACGACCCGCTTCTGGAACGCGAGTTCTGACGTCATCGAGTAAGCTCGAGTAAGTTTTGGAACGCCACGGTACGAAACTTTTACTCCGGAGTCGGATCGAGTAAATTTTGGAACACAGCCTATGTGTCGAATTCGGTCGATTTTCTGACGTCATATTTGCATTCTGTGGAGTAAACAGAAAACATCTTATTCTTTATAGGCAGTAACAAATATAATCATTTATTTTATTGAAACGATTTTTTGTATCTTGAAATTTTATAAATTTAGAATATAACATCATTCTCAACATTTGTCAAATGTCTTACGAAACTACGGTCGCCCCTCGCCAATACGGTAGCGACCGACTTCCGCAACAAATCATCTGACGAGGTAAACAGATCCACGCTGCTGACTTGTAACTATGTGAGACATCCTGGGCGCAGGAAAAACTGCGATAATGTCACCGACATAATGCAGATGGAAACTGACGAGTACGATTTCAACTATGTGAAAAAGGTAAGGTTGTTGGAGCGTCCGATTTTGCGTGCTGCTCGCGAGCATTTACTTTCCTCGCTCGTCCAAGATGGGGGCTGCTTCGATGCAGTGAGAGCTCGGCGTGCTCGGAGAGGAAGCAGGTTACAAACACGCTGGGCTCCAGGCTTCTCTGCTTTATTATTATTATTCCGCGATTTATACATATATGCGTGCGTGTTTTGTGTTCAGTTGTATTTTCCGAACAGCCACAGGGCTGTGTTATCCCAAAGAGTCCATTGAAACATGCATAATCAGTCTGACTGATTAATTATTTTCTTTTAATAAAAATACCGGTGTCTTCATTTTATTTCAATACAGATTTTTTTTTTTATTTATTTATAATAAGTATCTCGAGACTGCCATAATAAAATAATTTCCTCAACAATCAAAAAAAAAAAAAAGAGTCCCTCCGATTTCGCGGATACGCTATGCCTCAACGCCAGCGTATGTGCACATACGGGGTCTTTTTACGTGATCTGCGGTGTTTTTATTCCAAACAATCGACCGGGTTATATGAGTGGCATTCTAAAGTCTGGTTTGTTTTTCGCCGAAAGCGCAGAATTTTCCCCGTCGACATTCCCTAGACGTCGCGCGATAGTGGTGCCACTAGGGACCTTGGTTCCCCAGGCAGTCGCACAAAAACAAAACAAACATCCAAGGTCGTCGTGAATTGTTGTGAAAACGAAGTGAATGAAATGCCTCGGCTGTGCCGATCGCTGGAGCGCTCTGACAGGCGACGGTGGTCGATGCGTCAGTTCTTGGAGAAGGCCGACTGGTCGCTGCTGTAAGCGATGCAGTAGACTGCAAAGCCGCCAGCTAGGGACGAAGCATTGATTTCGTCCTTTCTTTGCTTTCATCGCGCGCTCCGGCGTGAAAGGAGGATGCTTTTCTCTCCCCCGCCGAGCGGCTGTGCGTGCGCAACGTGCGACGTGCGTGTGGGCTGGCAGGCGACGCCGACGCTCGTCGAGTCTTCTCCGACGACGGTTCACGGCAACGACCCCGTGGCTGCGTTGATGCGCTGGCCTAGCCGAGTCGCTACTGGGTGTCGTCGTCCGATCTTTGGCCGTCCGACGGAGAGCCGATCGCCGGCGTAGCGGTCAGCAGCGACGGACACGCGCACGTGCGGTCAGTCCCGTGGGCAGCAGCGAACGCGGGCGGCGGCAACTGCGTCATCGACCTCGGCCGCGAGTGCGCAGTTGAGCGGTTGAGCAGCGCCGTGCGTCTCGGTCGCAGGAGGACGAGCCGTGGAGCAGGGCGAGGAAGAGCCGCAGGTGCTCCGGCAGCTCGGTGGGCTCGGTCGGGTCCGGCACTTCCCCTGGGGCGACAGCAGTCCCGGCGTCGGCGCGCAAGCGGGGCGACATGAAGGCCAAGCTGGAGCGGAGCCGCCAGAGCGCCCGCGAATGCCGGGCACGCAAGAAGCTGCGCTACCAGTACCTCGAGGAGCTGGTCGCCGACCGCGAGAAGGCCGTGCTCGTGCTCAGGCAGGAGCTCGACGTGGTGAGTGTTCGCGCTCGGGGCCCGCCGGCGTCCTCGTAGGCCTTCCCCCTCTCTCGTCCGTACCCAGTGTGCAATGGCATCGGGGGGAATCGCTCCCCGCTCCCTTCCAGACATCTGTACGGCGAGCAATTGTTTACCAAAATGCGTCTTTCGCGCATTCGAACGCAAGGAGGCCAACGCAAATCAAAGCTGCCGAGCGCGCGACGTCCTTCGTTGAGGTCGGGAGAAGGGGAGGGAGGGAGGGGAACAAAGGCACATGGACGCATTTGGAGGGAAACAAACGCACGAGGTGCGCAAAAAGCAGACGAACTTGCACCTTGTACATGCAAATGTTCGAGTGAAGGGGCGGAAATCCCCCCTCCCTCCCGCCCCCTTCAGAGTAGCTAGCTGCCCCAGACAAGTGTGAACAGTCTTTCCTTTGTCTCAAAGCAGTGGACTTGTCGTCTCCTGATTTCTGTCCGGTTCCATGTCGATCGTATGGCACAAGCTTTTGGGTGCCGTTTTCAAAAAGCCCCTGCACCGGGACGGTTTTACCCACAAAGAGGTTACTGTGCTGACTTGCACTCTGAGAACTATACCAGGAGCAAATCCCCCCTTCCTTCCCCCAAACAGTCGCTCTCCTCCCCTCTCCCCTTCTCGGAGGGCAATTTGACATGGGTGGACCCCCCCCCCCCCCCCCCCCCCGGTGCACAAGAATGGAAGAATAGTATCTTTACAAATTCCCCCCCCCCCCCTCCCCCAAAACAGAGTTCTGGAACGGAGTTCTGGATCTGCCCCTGGACTATACTAGCTGATCCTTGCTGGACCTGGCCTGTGCCTCAGTTGCCACCGTTCTCTTGAATTTGCACGAAGCCATTGTGATGCGCACAAATGGTTCTAAAATTAAAAAAAAGCTTCAATTGGACTGGGGAGAAGTATTTCGAAAAGTGTTTGAAAAGCGATTGCAAACTGTTTTGGGTACAGTGCTCGGATGGCTGTCCGATTGTTGAGCGTGTTTTGACTTTACCAATATCAAGGACCATGCTGGAGATTCCTGACTGGCTGTAATATCCCGAAAGATATGCCCCATTCTCCGAAAGATAACCCTCCCCTAGTTTTGACATGATCTGCTTCTTTTGTTTTATTTTATTTCTTCAAAATCACCTAAGATATCCTGTTGTTAGTGCCCTAGCTAATGGCGATTTTGGCCAAAATGGGGTTAGTTAGCTACGGTGGGAGATAGGCAAACATTGCTGACTGGGAAGGGTCTATGTTCTCCATCGCCCCTCAGTGTGAAAACAAGTTTGGCGGGTTATAAAATACAAAATTAGCATTATTTGAATTTTTCTCTGAGCTGAGTACCAGTTTGTCTGCTTCTTTTGCAGGGGTCGTGGTGACGTCAGAATACCGAGCTCTGATTGGTTCTGAATGAAGGATAGTGGGTAGGCCTCAAGGCAGCTTGCTTTGAGTCCACCCACTATCCTTTAATCAGAGCCAATCTGAGCTCGGTGTCTTGCTGATGTCACCGCAACTCGTGCGCAAGAAGCAGACGACTTGCTATCCACGTTGCAACCCCAAAGTTAGTCCACCCCTCATTTTCCCCCGATTTGCTCTCGTTTGCGACAACACAACGTATGACTGCAACAAAATAAATCGTCAATTCACGTTGTGTTTCTTGCCACCGAGATAGTTCCCAAACCACGCTCAGCAGTGAGATAGCCGCCCGAGCCACTTGACTACCACCTTCCACCTCGATTCGAGGATGGGCATGTTCTTTCACGTTATGGGCAGTTGAGACATTAAGCACTAGAGTCACTGACAAGTCAAGGACAGCGGGGAGGAGCTTCAGTTGCCCAGTCTCCTGCACGAGCTTCCTGCCTTTAGCGACGCTTGGTGACGTCGTGCACTTTGAGCGCGCATACGCATGCAGCCAAGGCGCATTGGAAGGCGTGAAGCGCGTGCTGGAATTCCAGAAACTAGTAGTGTTTGCAATTTACTGAGAAGGTTGCTTTTCTTTCTTTTGCGTCAAGATCCGATGAACGGAGTTTAAAAGATACTCCGTTCGTCGAAGATAAAGAAGAAAACTGCATTAGTTTACCGTCTATTGCCCTACAGGAAAGCGAAAAAAGATTCCTTCGGAAAACCAGTATCCAAGATGGCACAGAAAGATCAAGTAGGAAGAAAATGAAGACATTAATAGAGGAGCAACAACATTAAATGAAGGAATAAGTTCCAAGAAGGTTCAGCTGGTTTAACCGTTGTAACATGTACCGCCAACTAGCTCAGCTTCTACCCCCTGTTAGTTATCTTTCTAGTTATCTGAGCACGCCTATTCTTAATTTCAACCTTCTGAAACCAGAAGCCCTATGCCTCTGTATTGCAACTTCCATCTGCCAAGCAAGACTGCTCTCTCGGAGCATACAAAAGAAGATCCTCCTGGTTGAAGTGCAATCCTTTGGAGCGGTAAAGCCATCCCAGGGGCACGCTCAACGAGTGTCCAAGATCCTCAGGTCCGAAAAATGGCGGCAAGTCCGCCTCCTCGCCGATGTTGTGCGAGCTAAGTGTCCTACCTACAACTTTTTTTCCAACCACATCGCAATGACAAGGTATACGACGGAGAACCTATGGATTCAAAGTTTCCTCCCGATTTGGCGTCGCCTCTTGGCAGCACATCGACTAGCCAAAGAACCTGAGAAGAAGCATCCGATCCAGGTGATCGGCAATGTAGAGATTTTCACAACAGCAAGACAGGTGCTGGAAAAAGGGCCTAAGTTCGCCATAGCTCCCAAGCTCGAGAGGGTGGACAACGTTGCTCTCGTAAGGAAGATAGCCGCCAGGGCCCCCCAAGAGAAAGGCCCTCAAATCATAGATGAGGGCATCCAAGCCTTTGAAAACCTCAAACACCAGGTCAAGGCAAAGGTGAGCTTCAGATCTACCATTCAAGAGTTACGAAGGAAAGACCTTAAACTTTGCGTCTCTGACAAAGGAGGAGGTTTTGTGGTTCTGAATTCATAAACTTTGCGTATCTGACAAAGGAGGAGGTTTTGTGGTTCTGAATTCAAACATATATGAAGAAAAGGCCCAACAAGCAATCAATAAGAATTTCATGAAAGTAGACGATAAACGGGCAAAATCAGCACAAAGAACCATCATTGACCTGTTCGACCAAAATCAAGCGAGCCTTTGCACCGAGATCAAAGGAGCGGCAAATGGCCAGCTTTCAGAGTTTTTCTCCGCCAAAACTCACAAAGAGGGTATTCCTTTTCGGGCCATAGTCTCCGAGAGGACAACGTGGCAAGCATGTGTTTCAAGGTTTTTGGCACAACATCTCTCAAAAATACACATTGAGGATCCATTCCAGATTCCCAACTCAGAACAAGTAATAACTTACCTTGAAGAAAAAGGAAATAGTATAGTCTCGGGGTTTTCCTTGGACGTATAGGACATGTACTACTCCATCCCTTAAGCAAGGCTGTTGCACGTCCTCAGAAATACCATTGAAAATCAAGGCCTTGCAAAGTTCCAAAATGGAGCAGGTGTTAGCGTAGATACCTTCTTGGAGGTTTTAAGGGTTTACCTCTTCGCAACGGTAGTGACTTACCAAGATCAGCACTTTGTCCAGAAGAGTGGAATGTGTATCGAATCAAAAGTGGCACCATATTTGTGCGACGTCTTTTTAGGCGCGTGTGGGGTTGCTATACAACAAGCTTTGGAAAATCCACGGGTTGCAGTTATTTTTCGGTATGTTGATGACTTTCTTATTTCATGTACCACCGAAGTTGATGAAACATCAGACGGATGCCTTAACACCACTCTTAGGGATTTTCAAACAAATTGCATGGGCCTCACCTTTACATACGAGCTTCCCGCTGATAAGTCTATCAGGTTTCTGGATTTGGCCTTAGACTTCCAAAATGAACACGTTTGTTGGAGATACGAAACGCAATCGGGGAAAGGGTTCCTTCCCTTTGACTCCCAACATTCGAAAAATGTAAAGCAAGGGGTCGCCACCACAGCTCTCACAGATCTCACAGCTAGCCTCAGAAAAACATGTTCACATCGGATGGGACGAAGCTTCGAGACCCAAATCTCCAGACGGCATGAGGCCGGATATCCGAGACCCTTCTTAGCTTCCATCTGTGAAAAACTCTGCCAAAGCATCAAGAAATCCAGCCGAAAGAATGACTCTAACACACGAAAGAAGGTTCCTAGATCACTTTTCGCGGTGGTTCCGTATATTCATGGTGTCACCCATAGGTTGAAAAAGATCGCCACAAGGCAGGGCGTCATAGTAGTGTGCTCGGCACTCAACAAGGGGTATGCCATGTGCCGGAAGGTTAATCTAGCGGAGGCAAACAACACCGGCACTTGCAACACCAAACATAAGAATACATATGTCCAATGCGAAAGGGGAGTAGTTTACAACATACCGCTGTCATGTGGGCGTGTGTATATTGGACAAACGGGAAGGTGCGTGAACAATCGAGCACGTGAGCATGTAGCAAACATAAGAGCCCTAACAGGGCCGGGGCATTTAGCTGCTCATTGTCGAGCATGCACGTGCGAGGCCAGGCTCGAACCGGGAACCATCTTAGCTCACCACAAAGACCTCGCCCGCGAAATACTTGAGGCCTTGGCCATAGAAGATAAAGAAGAAAACTGCGTTAGTTCACCATCTATTGCCCTACAGGAAAACGAAAAAAGATTCCTTCGGAAAACCAGTATCCGAGATGGCACAGAAAGATCAAGTAGGAAGAAAATGAAGACATTAATAGAGGAGCAACAACATTAAATGAAGGAATAAGTTCCGAGAAGGTAGCCACAACGCCAGTAGACAAAGAGAGGAAAACGAAGGATTATTATTAAATAGTTGGTAGTCCAGCGATCGCTTGTCTTTACTCCTTTCTCCCTATTTTCGTAGTTCAGCTGGTTTAACCATTGTAATATGTACCACCAACTAGCTCGGCTTCTACCTTCCGTCCTCAAAGAAGGCCGCCGTCTGGGTCTGCAGCGATTCCATC